ATAAATATCTATTGCATTCATTACAAGCCTTTTAATCTATCAGCCTATGCCTGTGAGGTTGGTTCATATTTGCTTAGTGCTGCACTACCTGGTGAAAGCTTGTGATGATGGTCTCTTGAGTACAATTAGAGTTTAGGTGGAGATTGAATATTGAATGAGCTAGTTTATATGCTATGCTGCATCTGTCTCATGTACACTTAGCTGCTTAAATGCATAGAAATACCATAGCTTACTGGGGTGTCTAACCAGAATACATGATATACACAGTTTGCCCTAAAATAAGAGATTGTAGAGTGAAACTGCATAAGCACCAGGAAATCTTCTTGAACTGATGGCACTTCTTAATTTTCACTGCTTTTCTTTTTCTCTAAGAATGAGCCAAAACATCTATCTTACAGACTCCATTTAATTTCAAGCTTTTGCTGGGGGCATTCTTCTTCTCTGTATCAAAATATAGCTTACTCTATAGATCTTCAATTATTATTTTCAAGATCATATTATTTTAAGATCATGGTCCCAAGGTCTTTAACCTTTCAGATTTGCTTCCAAATTGCTTAAGATCATAAGTCTAAGCTAGCTTTGGATGTACTAGACCTTCACTTATGTAATGCTCACATCTTCTGCTGGCCACCTCAATTCATTTCACCTTCATATTAAGACTGTCAGTGATAATCACACTACAACACTAACTACAGCTAGAATAGCTCTGCCAGGGATTAGAACAGGCAGCTACAAGGAGTAGGCAAGAATAACTATAGGCTGGAGTTAAAGCTTAACAGCAAGAGATAGTGATGTGCAGGCCAAGCCTCAAAAACTGCAAGCCCACCAAGCCTGGCAGTGAGCTCAAAACCAGGCTCAAAGTGTAGTCAAGCCCAAGCCTGGCTTAAAAGCTCAGGCTTGGATTAGGCTTAGGTGCACTGGCTCTGTCACTATTCTCTGAGTTCATAATAAGGTGAGAGCAATCTGATATGTATATACAGGATAAAATATGGATATTCTAGACTCAACAGTTCTTGCCAAGCACAATTGTGCATTATCATTTGGTGTCCGCTATAGATACACACTCATGGACTTTGTTGCAACTTAACTTGTTCTACAAGTGTAGGCCTTCTGGAGGTTATAATTTGGTGAGTACATGCAACAGCAATCCACTACATCCAAATATACTCTCTTTTAATAGCACCAGAACACTCATTGTATTGTTAGCAAACTTGAGCTTAAGCCCACAGCTTGGACCAGATTTGGGCTTGGCTTAGGCTCAGGGCTCAGTTCAATGTCATCACAAGTCCAAGCCAGACCTGCACATCACTGGCAAGAGACTAGGAGTGGAAGGAGCTGAACTTCTGAGGAGCAAGATAGCTAAGAGTGATGGTCAGGATAAAGACCAGCTCAAGGCTGGAGATCTTATTCCAGAAAGTCTGCAGTCTTATATACCTTACAGAATAGATTTCCATACAGTGTTACTTAAACACACTCTGACCTACTTCAAAGTTCTACATAGGAGCTGAGTTAGAGCTCAACAAAGCCTGACAGAGCCTAATCTGAGTATGATAAAACCCAGCTTATATAGGGGCCAAGTCTGGACTGAGCCTGATGCTGACTGGATTGATATAGGAGGTGGAAATTTATGATAGGAGGAAGAGGTAAAAATAAGAGAGATGTAGAGACAGAAGTAAAAGAGTGAAAATAAGCGAAAATAGGTGGAAATAGAGATTAATTTATAACAAAGACTGATAAGACTTTGCTTAGAATCTGCTCAGAATCTCTGCCTACTGTTTGAGCTTCTAATCTCAAAACTAATTTATTGTCCTTACAATGTTGGTTACAAATGTGATATAGTATTTTAATAGCACAAAAGGTTCTAGGTTAAGATCTATCTCTCTTATTTATTGTATGAGACTGTGTACAGATATAGTAAACCACTTGGAAGCACAAAGGATCGGAGAAAGCCAAAGGCTGAGACAGAAGCCTGCTATAATTCAGAATATTCCTACATGTTATAAACCCTTCAAGCCCTGGAATATGTTTCCAATACTGTGTAGTATATGTGTATGATGCTCTGAAAGCTGTAGTAGCTCTTGAAAGGCTTTCAACTACTTTATAAGTATCAAAAATCAGAACACAGCAGAAATAACATACATTTATGGTCTATAGCAGTCCAAGCCACTGTGAAACATTTACTCAAGCTATATATGGGCATATATATAGACTGGAATGTATGAAAATCATAGAATGTAGAAGACAGAAGGAACTGAGTCAGAAATACTTGTCTCTGCAATTACAGCAAAGAAGTGTGGATTGTACTAGTAAAGGTAGCTAAGCAGATATGAATGATATCTCTCCATAGTCACCAATATGATGAAGAGTGTCTATAAATATTTATATGAATTTACAATTTGTATACAGTGTGCAGTAGCTGGGCTAACCTTGAAAAAATCAGCAAGTATGTTTGCGCTCATTTGGGCGCTATAAGCGCCGGTATTGGGAACATCCGGACACATCAAATGGTGTTCTCACATGTCACGGATTATATCCGCATTTTAGCGGATTTATCCGAAATTTATCGGAAGGAAGACAGCCCTGTCATTCTGGCACCATTTTTGCTCTTAAAAGGTATATCCAAACCTTTACTGTGCCATCCACCCAAAAGAGGCCCTCATAGAGGCAAATATCTGTGTATATTTACTATATACGGCATCAACAGGTGTGCAGTCAATGTATTGAACCTTAACTCTCTCTGAAACTGGTCAGAAACAGTCAAAACAGCCTTTAGAGGCCTCAAACGCTCAAATAAAGACTGCACCCCTTAGTAATAGTGCTTCACATATACCCAGCTGCACTTTTCGAAAAGTGCAGCTGGGTATACGTGAACTGATATGACTAAGCATCTGGCAAGGCTTCTGAGGCCTGATGGATTCACAAGGCTTTCTCTTCTCCAGTAAATTTCCAATAAATCCGCAGTATGCGAAAACACTGGATGCCTTTCCACAGGGTTTTTTTCAGATTCTAGAGTATAGTGCGGAGTGTAAATTACAGTGTAGAATTTAATTGCACCAGTCTACAAAACCACAGCAATCGGAAGCGAAGACGTAGAATATTTACTTTCGTAAGTGGAGTTTGAATGCACAACTGGCTGTAGACATGTATTGCCTCAGGCCTCAGGTTTTTTCACTCTGGGTGTTGCTCATGGATCCTATCTCAACACTCCTTTGGCAACAGTTAGAAGACGAAGATGAATCTGCTGCTGATGAAGACTTTCAAGATACTATTATCACAGCAGCATCGCTCTTAGTTGCCAGTGGTTTGCTTGATTGCACCACATACACCGAACATTGACGAGCTCACCACGCATACCTTTGTCAACCCTAGCTTCTTTTAAATTCTTGACAGTCAACACCATGGACTGTAATACATGAAAGCCGTGTTGATAGTGCGTACATAGTTACGATGGGCCTAGACGTACGTGCTTTTGAGCTTCTCCTATCAAGCAGCTTTGCCAAGCGGTGGAACAAGTAAGTTATCCCTTGATATGATGCCTCTGGCCAAGCTGCCCCTTGACCTGAGTGCAGGTCACTTGATGCTGTGGGTACTCTTGGACTCGTCCTACACTAACTGAACTCTACCATGCACAAACTTAACCTACAGCAAGTTTTTGCACTGATCCCCAGCACCATAACCAGATACATTGATTTTGGGATAGGCCTTCTATTGGAGACATTGCGGAGCATGTCTGAGGGTGTAATTGCTTGGCCAAGTGGAGAGCAGTTTGAGGAGTACACGCAAATGGTGCAAGGTCGCCATGGGCTGTTGGTGGGAGCATTCGGAACAATAAATGGACTGAACCTACCTTGTCAAACATCTGACGATGTCAAGATTGAAAACGCAATGCACAATGGATGGCTTTATGAACATTTCATAAGTTCTGTCATCGTGTATGCACCAGATGATGTGTCGCACCTATGCTTACTATCTGTACTTGCTCATCTCTTGTGCAGGCACCATAATTGTTTCATGCATCAATTGTCCAGGCAGCTGGCACGACTTCTGAGTTGGGGAGCCAATCTACAAGAAGCTTTGTATACAGACACCGGATGGATATTACATAGTTGCCGACACAGCCTTTCTCTGCAGTACGAAGCAAATTGAAGGTCGCATCCGAGCACCCATGAAGTCAGGTCAAGCACTGCCTTATAATGCTTCCAACAGAGTATGTGCTCTCGCTTTCGATCGACAGCTTGTTTTGTACCAACAGACTGCCAAATGGAGCATGCGTGCACTTCAGGGATCATTTGGGCAGCTTCACATTCCTCTTGAGATTGGTGAAGACCATCAACGCGGCAACTTGCTTGAGATGTGCCTCTGACTGCACAACCTTTGCACTCATGTTGTTGGGATTAACCAGATCAAGTCTGTGTATGAGCTCATTTGGTCGCAGGGAGATTATTTGGACATTTGGAAGGGTTTTAGATACATTGTATTTGGAGAGCAGCGCAGATGAGACCATGTATCACAGTTTCATAGCATAAGTGATAATGCATAGACTTATATAACATGTGCATAAAACTTAATGGTGACTAGCAACAAGGCCAGGGACAACTAATTGAATATAACCAAGAACTCCTACAGTAAAGCACCTAGCTCTATGGAGACAGAGACCACTCAGTAGGAGTGTGGTGATCAGCAGGAGTGGGTTGACCATTGTGGATGACAGGAGATCTTACATGTGCGAATTCAATCTGGATACGCTGAGGGGTGACTGAGATTTCAACACCGCTGAGGCGAGACGGAGAAGGTCTGCTATCAGAGACAGGATGGTGAAAGATAGATGCCAGAGTAGGAGAGTGGTAATGGAAGGGTGGCAGTGGAGTTGGAGAGTGATAGTGAGAGGGCAGCAGCGGAGTTGGAGAGTGGTAGCAAGAGGGTGGCAGCGGAGTTGGTGGGTAATAATGGAGGTCCCAAAGAATCTTACAACCACAAGACAAGGGAGATGCTGGAGTCTCTTAATATGACAGTAATGTGTGGTTGGGATCAATCGCAGGTGTGTCCTCCAGATAACCCCAAAAGCTATGCGAGCCATCTGCATAGAGCTCCTGGAAGTGGCATTGGGGGGTATGTTGGACATGGGGGTCACGGCAATGACAAGGTGGCGATGGCTCCCAGCAATCATGAATGGCATGGCTGATATCCCATTGCGGCCTCTAACATGCAAGCAAACTGTGCTTGCAACATAAATAGTTGTCCTAAGTATGCTATGAAAGGTGCACAAAGTAAACAACCCACCTGTTGCTCAATGCGATCAGCCTGACACTCAGCATCATACTGATGTCACTGTGTATCTGCCAGCTGTGTGCGCAACATTCCAATCTCAGCTCAAAGATCGTAGTTCTTCTGCGTAAGAGACATGAACTGCACATTTTGAAATGACGCAGCAGCACACTCAGAAGTGCGCGCAGCCTGTATAGTGGAGTCGAGACTTGCTGAGATCCTATTAAGAGTCTCAAGTCCAGCACTGACAAACATGCGCATGCATTTAGCTGGAGCCAGGTTCACCGTGTGGACTTGCGCAGGTGCTGGCTTCATAACGTGAGGCCTCTTAGATGGCGGTGCATCATCTTCATCATTGTTTTCCTTGTCACTATTGTCAGAGGCTTCAGAACCAGAGACATGATCATCAATATCTTCATCGTCAAGGTTCCATGTGCCGACCTTCTCATTGATGAGGCTGTCAATGGTATAGGCATGTTCGACCACTGGTGAACACTCTGCATCACCAGTTGGCTTGGTTGTTTTAACGAGCTATACAAGATATGAGCAGATGAGCTCATTTGCATGATATGAGCAGATGAGCTCATTTGCATGATAGGCATTACCTACCTGCTTGAACTTGGCTTCAAGTGACCTGTCTGCGCAGGCATGGAAGCTATTTTCCTTTGTCCACTCACGGTGAAAGCTGCTGACCTTAGCCCAACCTTTCCCACTGACCAGGAGCTCTTCCTCAATGATGTCAAGCAGGGCAGCAATCTCATCGGAATGATAGTTTGCTGCTCCCTTAGTACAGCTGCGCTTGGATGCAGACACTTCACGCTCCTGACCCTTGCCCTTGACTGAGCATCAAGCACCAGCAGTCTTTGTAACCAGTAGGCCACCACACAGCCATGCAAGCTCATGCTTGTTCTGGCAGGGAAGGGGCAGTAGAGTGGGGTCAATGGAGATTTGCGATGGGCCAGCTGTGGCATTCATGCCATTCTGCCAAGTAAATCTCAAATGACTAGGAATCATTAAGCCAGAGTGCAATATTCACTGTATTATAGATGGGCTGCCCAAAAGCCTGGCCGCTATTGAAGGCAGCACCTGGAGCCAACAGCTGTGATACAAATGATAAGAGCAAGCAAACGTGAGAAAAACTTGATAGCTCACCAACTGCGCAGCCACAGGCAGAGCTTCAGGTGGAAGTCCATGTCCGAATAGAACCCACTGGCCATCAGAACTGTGGTAGTAGCAGTTACCGTCGTTGGCAAGATACACGCTTGGAGCCACTGTACCGTTAGGTGTCCTGGTCGAGGGCTGGAACATAGTGAGATAAGCTGTGTGCAGAGGAGTGGAAGCAGAAGGTGAGCAGATGTTAGAGATGAGCTCGCTGAAGGTCAAAGCAGCTCACCTGTGCTTTTTTATAGGTGTCAAGCCCTGCAGCATACATACATGCCTTCACAAGATGGTGGTGTGTGCAGTTCTGCCATGACTGTTGAACAGTGTCCAACGGCAGCGCTATGGGGAGCAAGGGCTAGTTTCAAAGTGAGACAATCAAGTTAGTGCTCTAGTATGAGTCATAAATGGAGCAGAAAATAATTTACCAGATTGCTATACACTTCTAGCAAGATGGAGGATAGCGTAGTGATAACAGAGGTGGTAGTGAGCAGCGAGAACGGCACGCTACATCACATGCAGTGTTTGAAACCATGTCTGTAAATGCAGAATCTAGTCTGAAAGGGGGGTCGGACCCTCCCTCCAGATTTTGAGTCTGTAAACGCAACTGATCGGATTGAAACTATGGTAAGTAAGATTTGCCGAGATGCCATGTTTGATTTATTCAGAAATCTAGTCTACAAAGCTCTGTAGACGGCTGTGGAAAGGCATCTACTATGCTGTATGTTTTGGTGGTCTGAATTCTAGTGTCTAATATACCAAAATGGGTGCAAACATGCTTACTACCATTGACAAGGTTATTTCTTTCATTGTAAGCTGCATACATACTGATGTGGACTTGCGTCGACACACCACGAGGGATACTGCGTGGATCTAATCAGAAGGCGGCGCCGACGAGGTCTGGCGACTAATGCGTTAGCTTGTTCAGCTAGCCCAATAAACCAAGTAATATTAGTGACTGTACTACGATACAAACAAAGGCTTACCTAGCCCAATAAACCAAGAGGTTGAGATGGGGCTAGGTAGCGACAAAGGGACTCCTTATATACTAGTCAGGCTGCGCACGGACCAGGCGTTACATAAGCGACTGTGCTACGGCGGTTGCTAGTATCTGAGGGACTTTTGGCAGAGAAGCGAGGGCCGGTGTGTCATAGCGTATGACGTTGCCGGGCCAACGGGGATAGGAAGTCCATTGCCGATCGGACTCGAAGATAGACGGGGCCGGTGTGTCATAGCGTATGACGTTATCGGGCCGCCGGGGATCGAATGTCCGATGGAGATCGGAGTGCGACTGTTGCCGAGGAAGCATGATGCGGCGACGAGGCGGCGGCGATGTAGGCGCATCTGATGCGCTGATGCGTGCCCGTCGGTGATGCTTCTCGAGGTGTTAGCGCGCGGCTATGGCTTGTAAACTGGCGCCTATGCGTCGACGGCATTTGAAGGGTCATATAATCGTGGAATAAATTGGAGAAAATGGGAATAAAATAGGAGGCCGGGGCTACGCCCACGACACATACTGTAAATTCACCAAAATATTTACAAAGACTCATGAACACATTAGAAATCATGTGGAGATACATGGGAGCTTGGTTGACTGTTCTGAACAGGGTGGAAGTGATGAGGAAGGCAGATGGCACTTCAGCACTTATTGAGCACTTATTTGCATATGCCTGCCCATTTTCCTCTCCTCAAAGCTACCATTCAAACATTTAAAGTGTTATACATGTATATATATTCCTGGTCCTCTAATTCGGCTCTATTTGCTCATATAGCAATCAGCAAGATGTGCCCACATTTGAGATGGCCTCTCTGCACCCTGGTCTGGCCAGCACACATAAAAGACAGTGCTGCTACGTGGGCACATCTGTATTTTACATTTTCTGATAGTTACATGTAGGTAGATATATGCTAGAAATACCCAGATCCCAAGTTTCAGCTCAATACATAAAGTGTGGAAGGTTACAAGAATTGAGCAAGTTTCACTTCAAAGTTTGAAATGAACCCTAACCCCAATTTGATGGACTAGTGTAATGTCAATACACTTTATGTTCCCACACCTTGGGGCAAAGTTTCGTGACAGTGCTGAAAAGCTCCCAAGGTGCCAGTGCGTACAGGATGATTCTTCATTACACTCAGAAATCGTAATTAGACTAGCAGTAAAGAGATTAAATCTATTCTTAATTTTCAACTCTAAATTGGAAGCTTCAGACTGCTTCAAGTTATACAAATTCTCTAAGGACATTGAATTGTCCTTACTAGCCAAAGCTCCCTAAGTTAACCAAGACATTAACTTGTCTTTGTTACCCTCTTATTTTACTTATCTAAAAACCCTATTCTACTAACCCAAGTAGCTAGTCCTTAAGCTACTAACCAAACCTTCTTACAGCCCATCTTCTAAGATTCCTTAAAAGTCCCTTGTAAACAGACAAGTGAGGCTTTAGAATACTCAAGCAGATTAGTAAGTGGTCTTTGAATTAGTCCCCCATGGACACCAGGATAGCTTGGTTGAAAGGCTGACCCAGTGAACCCTGGAAAGAAAAGATTGAGAAAACTAAATCTAAGTAATTCATACCATACCCTTCTTGCTTTTAGCTTAAAACTTCAGACCAAACTCCATTCCCTTTTATTAAGAAGTACCCTTCTAGGATTCTTTTAGAATCTTCTTTATACCAAGCCTCATTTTATTTTACTTACTTTTCTTATCCTAACCTTTTCTTTATGGCAGTGTGTGCTCATGGGCTTTGTTGCAACTTGACTTATTCTGTGAGTATCACTGCACAAAATGGGAAGTTACACAGTGGCATAACCTGAGCGTAACGTCTGGATTACGCCCAGATTCTTTCCAGATCATGCCCAGATTATGACATAGGTGAATTTTATGGTAATTGCACAATTATGAAAGGATTACAGTCAGATTTTGATGGGATTTCACCCAGATTACACCTGAGTGTAATTTCTGTCAATGTGAGAGGATTTTCACTTGTGTGTCATTACATAATCCAGCATGTCGAGATCTGGTAATTTTATTAAATGCTGCCTCTCCTTGCTCACTGTGACACTGGCCATTTATCTTGTTATCACACCAACAGAATCAGGTCTAAATTATGTTTATTGAATATCTAAAAGTACAAGACAGGCTGCATGCAACATGACAAGTTGATGGATGCCTGCACGGGAGGTGTGAGTATCTATCTGATGCCACGTCGCTGCCTCACTTGATTCTTACATTAAACATTCTTGAACATGGGCATGCACATCTGCAGATGCACCTGAGGCTATGGCAGTAAATGAAAGAGAGCATGAGAATAGCCAGAGGGATATGCACCTATACTGGGCAACAAAATGACCGCTGCTGCGACCACTGACATCTGGCAAGTGCATCAGTGATGTCATGCGCTTTGAAGTCCAAGGATGGTGCTCACCTTGCACTGGCACGGGTGTTGCTCACTCATTGCATTCATCCTGAGGTGTCATGAGAACAATAACAAGATATGAGAAACTTGGCAGTGTGTGCACCAGGATATAACATGAAAGAGATACTTGTAGCGATAGACTTCACGCAAGCCTGTTGTGGGGGCACATCAGTGCATGCTACCACTTATGGACTAAAACTACTTACAATATGTGTGGCGGCACCGACCACCTTGTTAAACAACGTGTCAGGCTGTGGATATTAGTTAGCAAGACATGCTAGGTAACAATGAGTTATGTACCAGTGTGTGTTTGGAATAGCAATAGTACAGACAATACACAGTGATGCAGAAAACAGTGGGGCACTTAGCAAAAAAGGAAGGATAATGAGGGAGTGTGATTAAGTGGTTAAGCACACACAGAGAGCACTATCAGTATTTATGTCAGGCATGAATGATTACTGACAAATGGAGAACTTATCAGAAAAATATTTAAGGAGATTAGGGGAGCTCTGCTCTATATGAACACTCGCCAGCATAGTTTGGGTGGAGACTGAGTGTAGCCCAGGCATTACAACAAGATTTTGCTGCCAGCGTAATCTAATCATAACAGGCACAGAATTTGGGTGTTATCTCAAACTACGCTGAAGTTACAATTTGGCATAACTTGCTGTTTTGCACAGTGTGTATGTCTTCCGGAGGCTGAATTCAGTGAGTACACACAGTAATAACCTACTACATCCAAATCTACTCTCTTTTCATAGCACTAAAATACTTGTTGTATTGTGAGCAAGCCTGTGATTTGGGCCAGGCTCAGGCTCGGCTCAGGCTCAGGGCTCGGCTCAACATTGCCACAAGCCCAAACCGGGCCTGCACAGCAACCTCTGGTATCATGCATATTGTACACTATTATATTGTCTGACCCACCACCTGATGCACTGCTGGTCACATCCTTCATATCTAAGTGTGAGGTACTGAAGGCACAAACAATCTTGTGTTTGCACACCCAAAAACCATGAGTGCTGCAAAATTTCTTAGTTTTCCCCATTTTGAAGAAATATAAAATAAGTCTGTATATAATTCAATGCTTAGAAAATTACCACCCTTCAGCTATGCTGCTGGAAAGTTGTCCAATCTTTGGGCACTTCTGATTATCTGAAAGCAGATTGGTACCACTTTCTATGTGACAACAACCATCTGCTCTCTCTGTAATCTAAGCTTTTGGCCTTCAAGCAATTTGACGTCAACTTCATCTGATCTGGAACCATGTATTAATCATGTGTGGATGTGGTATATAGGACCACTCTGGTCAGAAGGGAGAGGTGTATCATTGGCCTGTACACCATCTCTGTAGGCTGATCTGCATTGTTTATTGGCTCTTTCAGTGGCTATTTACCTCTCTCTGTGAACAATCCATCACCTCTGCATATTTCCCCACCCAATTCATAATCTCACAGGAGATCTATATGGCATGAAGCTCGATATGTGACAATTTGAGGGTCTATTAGAAGGGTAGTATCTCCTATTTTCATGCTCAGTCGCCAGAATTACAACCCATCGGAAACAATGGTGCTCACCCTGATAATTAGTCACAAAAGCCATCTGCTTCATCTTCCAGTGCTGAACATGTTGCATAAAGGCTAGAAACT